CACCCCACCCACAGTACAGGGCACGGCAAGGGCCGAGCTGGTCTGGGTGAGGCCTGAGGCCCAGCTGCTGCAGCTTCCCATCTGCTCCCCGTCCTGTGAGGTTGTCCAGCCAATTCCACTTCGCTGCACACTGCCCTTCCAGACCCCAGAAGCTCAAGGAGCTCCTGCCCTTGCCCCATAGCCAGAGAAGGCACCCGGGCTGGAGGGCAGCAGATAGCTGGGCAGACATGAGGCCCAGCCAGGTGAGGAAGGCCCTGCTCCCTGGAAGCGTCCCTAGGGCCCCGGCTCATGACCCTCACACACGCCCCCCCACCCCCCACCAACACTACACATATACGCACACCCCCAACCACAGTGTCGGGGGTCCCCAGGGCCCCCATCATGCTTCTGCATATCTCCGTGCCTCCCCTCTCCCCAATTCTTTTTTTTTAATTTAATTTATCTTGGCTGCAACAGGTCTTAGTTGTGGCACACAGGATCTTCACTGCAGCACGTGGGATCTTTTAGTTGTGGCCCGTGGGATCTAGTTCCCTGACCAGGGATCGAACCTAGGCCCCCTGCATTGGGAGCATGGAGCCTTAGCCACTGGACCACCAGGGAAGTCCCTCCCCTCCCCTCCCCAATCCTTATAGCAAAGCAACAGCAGGAGCGAGGGGGCATCAACCAGACAAGCCAATTCATGCTGAAGTGCTGGCCCACAAGCCTTTGCAAAGCCCACAGCATGTCTTCAGGAGACGCCCAGTCAGAGTCTAGCTGTGGATACTTCAGGATCAGTGGGGGCAATAATGGGGTGGCTGGGAGAGGCCACCAGGCCCCTGAACAGTCCAAATAACCAAATGATTTCTGAAAAAACAGTGTGCAAACCCCTCCTCTGGCCCCTCCCATCGTCCCTAAGCCCCTCATAGCTAGATTCTGGAGCTACCGTGGGATTCAGGAAAGGGTAGGACATCTCTGATCAGGGCTCTTTACTCACCACCACCCTGACCGTCAGTGATACCACAAAAGTACTGGGGAGAGAAACGGATCTTTCGCCCACACGCACACTTAAGTGCACGTACATACGCTCCCTGACGCACAAGCACCCTCACGGACGCAGTGCAGTGTAGGAGCTAAAGGTGCCGGCTGGGGCATCAGACAGCCTCTGTTTGAATCCTGACTTCCCCATTCCACCAGCCGTGGGACTTGGAGCACTTACGTAACCTCTCTGTGCCTCGGTTTCTCCACCTATAAAATGGCAATAATAGTAGTCTACTGTCTGAGGCTGAAGAGAGGATTAAAGGTCACAAAGGCTGCGAAGCCAAGCACTCAGGGTTAGGCAGCCACGTGTCAGTACAGACACGTGTGTATGTATGTGTGTGTGTCGGGGGGGTCTCCCCCCACTTGCATGTCAGCTCCTCAAGGCAGGAACTGTGTCTCCCCATCAGGTGGTCAAGGCCCCACTGGGGACACGGCAGAGAGGAGCTAGCTGCCCCTGAGATAGTGTGGAAGACAGCTAGAAACACCTCACTTGCTTGGGCTTTCACGCTTCCATTCATTCGGCAAACATGTACTGAGTGTTTAGACTGTGCCCGGCTCCATTCGGAGCACGGGGGGGCCCCCCCGCAGTGAGCAAAACAGACAAGGACCCCGACCCGCGCAGCGCTGCCCCCGCAGGAGAACAAGCCCCTGAGCAGGAGTGAGTTTCCCTAGAGAAAGGAAGCCGTGTGTTTTCTGTGCCCAAACAGCTTGGACAGGTCCCAGTTCCCAGTAATTGATGCACTTCCCTGCATTCTCCGTCAGACGCTACTGGATGTACTTCAGCTTCCCCTTGACAACTCAAGGTCAAGCCCGGGAACGTCAGTCTACAGAAGACTCCCCAGGTCCTTGAGGCTCCTGGGGCCCCTTACCCCGACACTAAATGGCTCCAAGCCTCTTGGCTTTTCTGAGCCCCTGGTGTGTTGCCCTTTTTGTTCTCTGTTTCCTCCCACGCCATCAGGCCACTGGCTGTGATTCTGGGGGCTGTCACTGCACCTGCTCCAGGAGCTGGTCTCCTGGTTGTTTCTGCTCAGCTGCTCTGACCCGAGCCTCCAGGGAGTCAGGCTTGTAAGAACTGTGCGCAGAGCTAAGCACAGTGGGCTCCGAACAAGGTCCTGCAGGGCTCTCCTGTGAGCTTTCCTGCCCGGCCTTTGTGTCTTTCAGCCTGAGTTCCAAAGGGTGGGGCCTTTGTTTTCTTCTCCAAAGTGACCCAGCACCTAAAACAATGCCTGGCACATAGTAAACACGCAAAACTGTTTATTCTTAAATAAATGTACAGCGTCCTTCGAGCTTAATTCATCTTTTTCTGCTTCTGTTGAATAAACGAAGCACCACTGCGTGTATACGTGGAGGGGGTGGGTGCCAAAGTGGATCCTGACCCCTGGGGAAGAGGGGAAGTTCTGAAGCCCTTGAAGACCTCTGGGCACCTCCCCGGTGCCAGACACTCAGTCCACCATGTGGGAGGCCCTCCGTCTGATCCTGGCAGACAGTGCCTACAGATGCCCCAACAAACCTGTGTGCGCACACACACACACACACACACACACACACACACACGCACGCACAGAGCAGAAGGACAGACTCGGTGTCTGCTGCCTGGCAACAGAGTCAAGTCCACTGAGTCTAAGTCCCTGGGTGGGCAGGGGACACTCAAGGTCCCTCTGCCCACCTTCCGGATGGACAGCAGTGTCCTCCAGGAGCCCCAGTGACTGCATAGTGCATCCAGTTGACGTAGCCCTTTCATGGCCATCATTTCCTTGAACCCTCCTCACCCATGGACATTTCTATCCACGTCTCATGAGGAAAGCAAAGCTTGGAGAAGGCAAGTGCCCGAGCTGACAGAGCTCATGAGTGGCTGCGCTGAGACAGACCCGCGTCACTGCTAGACCCCCTCACCTTGGGAGAACAGAGGGCAGTGATGGTCTAGATTCAGGAGCGCTTGTTTCACGGGGCTGGCTGAGCCTAGGTCCTGCCCGGCCCCACCCAGCTGTGTGGCACTGAGTGACTTCAGCCCCCTGGGTCCCAGCCTCCTCATCTAGCTCCCATGGTTAGTGACGTGGATCTCAGGAGGTCACTGCAAAGCTCAAGAGGATAAGAGGCATGAGAAGGCTCTGCAACCTGAAAAGCACTGTGCAGAGGAACCAGGTCACCAGTGGCCTGGTCACCTAGGTTCTCTGAACCTCAGTGCTGTCAACTGAAAACAGGGCTACTGGCCCTCACTTTGCAGGGCTGGGGGTAGGAGTAGGCAAACTCGCAGAGATGGGGTTCTGACACTGTGGTTGAGGTTATGATGACATCGGTCAGCCCCACTGGGAAGAAAACCACTCTGTCAAAAATCAGGGTCAACTTTCCAGGGATGAGCCTTCCAGGGAGGACCCTACTGTCCTCCCAGATGAGAGGCCCCAATGTCCTCCTCCGTTTCAGGGAGAGCACCCCTTCTTCCAGGGCAGGTAGGGGATGTCTGGACAGGACTGACTGAACTGGTGAGGAGAAACGCTCTTCCCGGCAAGGCCCTGCCCTGCCTTGGATGTAGCGTGTGGATGAAGTACTCGGTGCTGTGGCAGCCACTGTGCAGTCATGAGGTAAAGACCAAGAAAGAAGCCCGAAGCCTTAGCATCACCAGAGCCTTGGAGCCAGGGAACAGTCTCCTCACTTCACCTTTCCTAACTGTAAGAAACAGGAGCCCTGTTAGTTTAAGCTGCTGCTAGAGGGGTTTCTGTGATCTGAAATGCAAAGCTTTCTGCACTGATTCAAGGCAACAAGAGCCCAAACTCCCCAAACAGGAGCCTGGGGGAGCCCAGGGGCACTTCCCTGTCTGTGTCCTAAAGCCCCTAGTTCACTCTTCCCTAGAGTCTTTGCCTTCAGCTCAGGAATATTCAGCCCCAGCGTGTGTGGATTTTCGTGGAAGGAACGCTGTGCATTACTCGGCAGCTTCCTCTGTGCCAGGAGCTGGGACACAAAGATGAAAGGGCTGACAGTCTAGCTAGAGAGGTGTACACATTGTGTGATGTAAGGTAATGCAGTATAGAGTTTTAATATCACATAATTTATCAGGTAACACTTCACCTAAAAATACAACAAAATGAGCTCTAAAATATCACATAATAGAGTATCACATAATATATCATGACTTCATACTGTATCATAGAATGCTCTCCTGAATTAGACTCTACACCCCCCTATGGTAAGGGCAGGGAGGTGGCCATGCTATGGGGCCCTGAGGTGGAGGCTGGGGTAGGGGTAAGGGAGGGCTTCCAGGAGGAGCAGGACTTAGCCAGACAGACAGGGTAGAAGAGCATTCCAGGCAGAAGGGACGGCGTGAGCACAGAGGCCAAAAATAGCCCCTCTGGGCGAGGAGTTCCGCGTTGATGGAGTGTAAATTGGGACACCGGGAGTGACCGGCTGGAGCCAGGTCACTTAGGGGGAGGGGCAGCTGCCCTGTAAGGGAGTCTGGCCTCTATCCTCGGCCTGTGGAGAGCCCCTGAGGGGTCCTGAGCAGGGGGAGTGAGGCAGTCAGACCTGGCTTTCAGCAGAGCTGCTGGGAGGGGCTCAGGTGGGTATGAACTGAGCCAGGGAGCAGCTGGGCGGCAGGGCCAGGCCCCAGGTGGCCATGAAGTCTGGGCAGAGAACTAAGCACCGTGAAGGCAGGAAAGGCTCCCTGCTTCGCCCTCTAGAAACGTTTATACTAGGAGGTCCGGAAGGCAGGGATTTATACCTTCCCCTAGAACCAGCCTCCGGTCTGCAGGGGCAGGTAGAAACAGGATGACCAGGGCCTGCTGGCGCCCCCTGTGCCAGGCGATCCACTGTGCCAGGGGCAGGGGCTCAAGGCTGGGCAGTGGGAGGGCAGCCCTGCCCTCCATTCTCCTCCCACTGTTCCTCTGGAAGCCCCAGGTCTGGAAAGCAAGTTCTGGTCACTGGTCGGACCCCACGTCATCACCAGGGGCCTGGGGCCAGCGGCCACACCTCCTTCCCCAGGCCCTCCTCACCTTTGGCTCCACGGGGACCAGCTTCTCAGGCAGCAGACACGGGAGGGAGGACAGAGTTCACAAAACAGTTGCACATCCTTTGTGCCACTGACCCCTGGATAGGTGGGCAATCAGGCTGGCATCTCCCGGATACGACACTTGAGCAAGGCCACCCAGCTACGCAGGCCCCTGGGCAGAGACGAGAGCAGCCTCAGAGTCCAGACCAGGTAGCTGCCCACCAAGGCCTTAGCAGGGAGGGGGCATCTCGGCCCATGCCCAGCCCTGCAGACGGGGAGATTAATGGCCCTGAAATTGTGATAAACTTATGTATATTTTGTCCTGTCAGAGCTGCCACCTCTCCAACCGAAACTGGGAAGAGAGGAGAAAGGAGTGAAGTACGGTGCCTGAGTAAAGCGCACACGAAACGCCCTCCGAAGCCCGAGCCTCAGCTTGTGAGGACCGGCCACCCGTGGCGATGTGGACGACAGGCTTTTTCCACTGCCGGGGTGAGGGGCAGCCGAGCTTCTGGGTCTCACGGGACAGCGCTGGGGCAGGCAGTGAAAAAGGGGTGCCGCAACTGAGAAAGGAAAGCCCCCAGTCCCCTGCCCCTGCCCCGTGACCCCCCCATGAGGTCACGCCCATGTGACACCTGGGAGGTGTCCCTCTCCCCACCTCCACCTGACAGCCCTGGGCCTGACTCTCAGCTCCCCCTCACGGGTCCAGGGGGTGTGAGGAAGGTGGCCAGGCCTTGCCCTCCCCTCCCCACCGCCGCCAATGCTGGCCTCCCAGCTGCCAGCCCCGCCCCAGCACAGCCCAAGGGCCCCACTCAGGCCACCCGGTGACTGCTCCCAGGAGGTGCCCAGATTCCAGTCAGACATCTCCCAGAAGTTTCTGGCGGTGGCGGCGGTTCTTAAAAAAGGCTTCCTGTCATACTGCAATCAGCTGAGGCGCCAAGCACTGAGCGTTTCATTAATGCCACTGCTCTCCCAGAGCGTCTCCGTGTTGCCTTCCGATGAGCTGATGGCAGTCTCCGCGCTCTCTCTGCCCCCGACCCTCCCTCGGGTTGACGACTTTCTGTTGCCCTGCCCACACTGTGCCCTCCCGGGCACCTTCTTTCTGCCCCGTCTCCTCCAGCCCGGGTTTTATGACAACAGTCACTTCTAACCGTCTCCCATTTTAAGAGCTTTGAGAAGGAAAAACAGTTCGGCAGCGTCCAGGATACCTAATTAGGTGGCCTTCAGACACCTTAGAGGAGGAAGAAAAGTCACAACTGGTGCAAGAAGGGGAAGAAACACCATTAAAAGAAAACAAGGGGAAACCAAATAAAGAGCGGAGATAAAGAGTCGGGAGAAAACAGCGGCGCCTGAGAAACACGGATTCCAGCCGCCAACTTTTACGGCGTCCAGCCCTGTTATTCATAAGCGAGTTTCCTCTCTCACAAAGGACCTTTTGCACGGTTTTCCCTGCTGCCTCCAAACCAGCTGCTTGTGCTGTTGTATCCTGAGTGATGATGAGGCTCTGAAAGGGTTTTTTGGGAACAGATGGCCAGGGGAGAGCTGGGGAATGTGCCAGCAGAGCGCTGGGCGGGCTGCCAGGGCCTGCGGTGACTGAGCGCTTGGGCTTCCAGCTCGCGTGCTTTCCCTGCCCTCTGCCCTCCGTGGCGCCAGCAGGCCTTCCCAGCGAGCGCTCGGAACATCTGGAGTCTGGGGCTGCCAGGAGGGGGGGCCGCGGCGGCCGGGCGGGGGACCCTCTGTTCCAGCGGAGCTCCCAGGGCCTCGCCACCAGGCCCGCCTTGTGGAACAGCTAATCAAAACCACAGCGCCCGAATGGGAACCAGGCGCGCTCCCAGCTGCAGCCAGAGGCCGCCAGGGCGACTTCACCCCGTGTCAGGCCTCGCTGGCGGCGGCACTGGGGGCGGGGGGCTGCTGACACCCCCCCCCACCGGCCCGGCCCACCCCTTGCCACCCCCAGCAGTCTGTGGGCTCCCCGCGGCTCAATGGAGCCTGCAAGTGCCGCAGCCCGGCTGCTTACATAAGAGCTGCTGCTCCTGACAAGGCCCTGCACCCGCATTTGTTGGGGGTCTCCGGGCTCAGGCCACCCTGCTGGGCGGTATGTGAGCTTCAGGGCCCGGTCGCAGCTGAAGAGCTCGGAGTTTGGAACCAAAGAGACATGTGCTCAAAGCAGCTCCACCACTTCCTCGCTGCATGGCCTTGGGCAAGCTACTGCCCTTCTCTTGGCCTCAGTTTCCCCTCCGTGCAATGGGGAAGTGGTGCTAACTTGTGGGGTCAGCATAAAGGGTAGAGAGAAAGTATGGGAGGTGCTCGGCACGCAATGGGCACTCCCCACTCGGTCAGCGCGATTGTTGGTGAGAGTCTGTTTATTAGCATTATTACCACGTACAACCACACGTTATGCATGTTCTTTGGTATGAATCCGTGAACTTTGAAAGCCCAGGGATTTCTGGGCTGGCTAGGTGCTCGCCCCCCTTTAAGGATGCAGGGCCAGGGGGTTTGCCCCGAATGCTGGACAAACAGGAGTCCCCCATTCAGAATTATTTGCCCTTATCTGCCCTTTGTCTGGTCATTCATCCATTCCAGGCACTGCCCTTTCCTGAGATGATCCTTCCTGGGATTCCATATGAAGTCGTTACCTTGTGGCTGTAAATTCCTGAGATTTCCCTTCTGGCACTGAGAAAAGGCCAGCCCTTTCTCATACTGGATCTCCTTTAATCCTTCCAGCTAGGTGGCGAGGAAGGTTTATAAGCTCACACTTCACACACGAGAACGGGGGATCAGAGAAGTTAGATAACACACCCAAGGTCACATGGGTAGGAAGTACCAGTGCCGTGATTCAAACCCAGGTCTCCAGCGCCAAAGCCCACACTTCCCCTACTTCATGGTCTTGCCAAGGGTCTCCCTGTTGTATGTGCCTTAAAGTTAAATGACAGCACCAGAGAGAACTGAAAGGAACTGTAGGGTTCTCTCAACTCAACACCCACCTATAGCATCCTGGACCACTGAGCCTCTGAAGGGGTTTCCAGAGGGGCACACTGGCTCAAAGAGGTGCCCTGGAGGTTAGAGCATCAGAGGGGACTTTTCACGTCTCTGACTTTCTGAGCAGGAGAGGGTGGTTCTTTCTCACTGTCCGAGACCCCAAGTTTTCATTCATACACAGCATGGTGGGGAGAAGGGTGGGGTCTGTGAGTGCGTGTCAGCGGGGGAGAGGAGGAAGAGGTGAAGACAGTGTGAAAGGAGAGGGGAAAGCAGTGCCCCAGTCTCTCCCCCACCTCAGGACCACCCGGCGAACAGCAGAGGGCCAAGCTCTGTGTTCCAAGGAAGCCAGCTCCAAGCTAACCTGGGGGGCTCCCCAGCCCACGACCCCTCCATCCCAGTCCCTGCCAGCCGTGTGGACTAACGGTGTCAACTGAGAGAGGAGAAACGGCAGCTGAGAGAACACTCCGTGTTAGAACAAACAGCTGGCGACAAACGTCTATGTAATTGGAATGCCAGAAAAAATAAATTGCATCCATTTTTATGACGAGAAGGGAATTTGATGGTGGTTTCCCACCCACCCCCCTTCTTTCCCAGCATAGACGGTCTCCATGGGCTTTGAAAGCACATGGTATTTAACTCAGTAACATGGCTTGGAGGATGTGGAAACAGGACCTCCTCTCACCACCCCATTTCCATGCGGGGGGCGGGACAGGGAAGTGATAGGAGCCCCGGGCACCTCTCCTACTGACCAGTTCCTCGGGCCTCTGAGCCTCAGATTCATTGTTCCTGGGACAACGTCAGGATCCACCTTGAAGGGGTGGCGGGAGGAGTCAACGGGGTGATATGTCAGAAGTACTAAGCACCCAGCACCACGCCTGGCGTGGGATCCAGGCTCTAAGAACGTCGGTAGTATCAGTATTCTCCGGGTGCACTGCACTGGGGTCCCAACAGGCTCTGTGAGCAACTTTCAGATCTGTGTGAAATGCCCGTGATGGGCAGAGGGGAAGGGAGAGTAAACGCCTGTTGTCATTTAGACAGAAAAAGGAGCTGAGGTGACCTCAGTTCGGACAGGCCTTAGAAATCACTTCTGGGGTCAACTCACCTTACAGAAGTGGAGACCAAAGCCCCAGTGGGGGTGACTGTGTACGTGGCAGGTGGGGACAGAGACAGGACAGTGTCCCTCAATGGGGACTCTGGGGATGCAGGAGACCCTGCACACGAGGGGCTGGATCCAGCCAGAGCCGGTGTTGGAGACTCTGCCTCACATACTCTGGGGCTCCGGAACAGACCACAGAAAGAGCAGGTGCCACCAGGTCCTGTCCGAGGCCTGGTTTCAACCACCCAGACAGAACCCTCTCGGCTCCCACTGACCCCCCAACCCAAAACCAATGTGCTACCTCAGCTGGCCCCCAGCACCAAAAGTACAGAAGTCTGCACCCAAGATGTTCTTCCCAACAGGGGTCCGGCTACCCTCGAACCTGCCATCACCACGAAAAGCCTCCCCTACCCAGAAAGCAGCAGGAAGAGAGAAGATACGGTCGAGCTATGCCAGCCTCACTGGCTCCTCTGGCACTGGACCACCCACAGGGTGAGAAGCAGCCTCTGGCCTTGCAGAGCCAGCCTTCCCTGCCCAGCTGGCACACACGGCTACAGTCCCAGCCCCGGGGTCACCAATCGGTACCCAGGTGTCTGGTAGGGCCCTTAGCTCAGCGCACCATAATGGACTTATCTCTCCCCCCCAACCCCACCCCCGCCAACCTGGGGCCTGTGAGAAACCTGGGGGCAGGAACTTACTGGCCATTTATCGCCAGGGCCTAAGCTATGCCATCAGTGTTAGTAAGTGCTGCCGCTGTTAGTATTATTATTATTATTATTCACTGGAAGGCAGTGCCCTAGACTGTGGGAAACCGCTCGTCTCCTATCCTGCAGGCCCGGCAATGCCCACCCTGCCCAGGTGTGGAACAGTTCTGCTTCTCGTCCTTCTCTCCTCCTCAGAAGCTCCCAGGAGTTGCTGCTTTAAAAACAGGAGCTGCGGAAACATGGCCCAGAGCCAGGTGCTTACCGTGCATTATCTCCGGCTGCAACCGGAGCTTGAGCTGCGATCTGCAGAGCCCTTCCACTCCCCCCACCTGTCTCTCCGCTTGGCAGCCTCCGACGAGCCTCTCTGCAAGACCAGGGCTTCCAAACGGACCCTGGACCCTCAAAGTCACCTCCTGTGAGGTCCAGATATAGAGGACTCACCCGTCAAGGGATATGGGTCCCCACCCCGAGCAAGGAAGGGCTGAGACGGGCAAAAGGATGTGCCTGAGGCCTAGAGGGTAAGGAAAGATCGCTTTAAATCCCATTCTTAACACAGGTCTGGAGGGACAAGGCAGCTCATCAGGGAACACTGAGTACAGTCTGTCAAGGCGGTGTTCTGGAACAGGGTCGCCCAGCCTCTGGGGCACATGAACTGTGAGAGAGCCGCGCTCCGTGGGACAGCTCAGATCGCCATCAGTGGCATTGGTGATGACCATTTATGAAAGACTTCCTTTCAGCTGGTCACTGACATCAGCATCATTTTCTAGTTTCTTCCTTTCTTTATCCTTCATTAGAATGTAAGCCTGACTCACTCCCATCCCCAAACCCTCAGGCTGCCCTGAATGGCTGCAGGGGGAGGGGCAACAGGGGCGTGATTTGAGCCTCACATCCACCTGCCCTGTCCACAGGGACTAGGGAGGGTCAAGCCCGCCCCATCGCAAATACCCATCACAGGGCCCATGTGCTGAGGATGGGATTCCCCAACACGGAGCTCACTGCCACTGCTCGATAAACACTGAACGAATGAATGTATGAACAAATGAAGGGATGCGTCTCCAGGGACACCAGCTCCCTTGGTTCTGGTTAACAAAAGGATGGCCTATCCCAGGCACTCAGGGCCACTGGGCGGGTCACTGAAGTCCATCCCTGAGGGCATCCCTGCAACTCACCTACCTGCATGGTGACAGACGCAGGAAGGCACACACACCAGGAGTGGGGTGGTGCTGTGATCTGCCAATCTACCAGGGCAGTTACAGGGCCCAAGAGGCCTCAGATGCCCCAGCAGCCCCAAGACCCTGTCCCATCCCTCCCTCTAAGTCCTCTGGGCAATGGTGGCTGTCCAGGCATGGTCCTCAGGAGATGGCAGCCTCAGGACAGCCTGCTGGGCAGGAGGGGCTGCAGGATGCAAGGGGCCCCTCACTCAGAGGTGAGGCAGGACCTCTGCTTGTAGAGTCAGACTAGAAAGGGCCTTGGAAATCTCTGATGTTTCCACCATCGCCGTTTATTGAGGAGAAAACTGAGGCAAGAAGAGGTAAAGAAATGGGTCCAAAATGATACAGCTAGTAGGTGGTGAGCCAGGCCTTGAACTCAGGGCTGTTTGATGCTCTTACCCACAATCTAACACCTCAGTCTCCCAATCTGGACAATGGGGAGGCTGGACCAGATAGTCTTAGATTTGATGTGATTTCAGGGGAAGCCAAAAGCTCGTCTCTGCTCGGCATCGTCACCCCACCACCCCCCTTCTTCCCTCACCTCCCAAGCATCTAGTTTCCTCCCCAGCCCAGGGCACTTGCTCCAATCAAAGAACAGGGAAGGAGGGGGGCCCAGCACTCTGGCCTTTGGTGGCTGACGGGAGGACTTGGGGAGGGGGGGATGAGGGGCAGAGATGGGGGAAATGGCGCCTGCCCATCCTGCCCATCCACACCTCCGACCGACCACCACCGAATGCCAGGGGAAGTTCACCGAGAGTTTACAACCCTCCTTTGTCACAGAGCGCTGCATGGAGCCATCAATCACGCCCTTAATTTACCCGTGTCACTTTCCAGAGGAAAGCCGCCCTGCGAGCAGCCAGTGGCGCTTCCTCTCTCACCCACTTGATGAAGATTTCATCTAATTGGTCCACATTAAATCACTCCCAGGATCGCAACGTGCCATCACCGCAGCAGCGGCAGTGGCTGGCGGTGGGGACATGCCGGGGCCCTCCCTGCTGTGGGCAGGAGAGTCCACAGAGGGCCTCCCTGGCTGGAAGCCTCTTGAAGGGGCCCCTGGGAAACCTGGAGAACCCAGAGAGGGGGCCTCCTTGAAAGGGGGGCTGGGGGAGGAATGTCAGGGATGCGGGGAGGGGCCGGCCAGGAAGGAAAGAGGAGGTGGTAGGAAGGAATGAATGGAGGATGCCAGAGCCACTTGGCTACCCCCCCCGACTCCCCATCCCTGGATGCCCAGGAGAGTCAGGCATCTCTAACCCCTTTAACCTCTTCATGGATGCAGACTGGGTCCCACCCTCTGCCTCTCTCCCTCTAGCCTCGTGGGCACAGAGATCCAGAGGGTTACCATAAGCCTTGCTCTGCACAGCCTGGCAATGACCCCCAACTGGAAATGCTGGAAGCCTAGGCCATCTGGGAAGCATAGCTGTGCCCGACACCTTTCCTCCTGCCCATATTTCTCCAAACACATCAGGCTTTGTACAGGCTGTTCCCTCTGCCTCAGATATTGTTCCTGCTTCATCTGCCGGGTGACCTGGTTGTCCAGCTCAAACACCACTTACACCAAGATGACCTTTCAAACTCCCTTGGGCAGGAGAGGTAACCTGTCCCTCCTCTGCCTGGCTTTCCCCTGCCCCAGCACAGGCCTCCGGGGCCTCCTTTACTACCCTCTTCTGCCCTTATCCACAGGCAAGAGGGTCTCTGAGCATCCTGTGAGCTGCAGGGGTGCTGCGACCATATGTTTATCATTTTTATACCCCTGCCCGGCAAGCGTGGCACATGGCTGGGGCTCAGTAAATCTCTTCAGAATGAATGAATGAATGAATGAATGAATATCACGTGCCTTAATGCGTGGCCTCAGGTAACCCACAGGCCAAGTCACATTACCAAAACACACCAAAGGGCTCTCCTGGGCTGTTACCAGTTCAGGAGATCTCACCCTGATATGACATCCATCAGGGGTCGCATGGGGGATTCATCCTAAGAGCATGTAAGGCCAGAAAGAGCTTCAGAGATAAGCTGTCCTCCTCATTTAAGTGATGAACAAACGCAGGCCCAGGGTGACTGTCCCAGGTACCCAGCAGCCCCATTCCCAGGAATAGAGTCACACACAATCCCAGGGGTCTGAGGAGCCCTGAAGCTGGCACGAACCCCAGCAAAGCTCCTAAGGGCCGAGCTCACCGGTCCCTCTGGAAGCCTGGGGGAGTGAGGGGCTCCCCAAGCTCCTGTCCCCACCTCTCTGTCTTCCCAGGAGGCTGCTGCCTGCGTGGCTGGCACGTACCTTGCGTTTCTTGGCACGGCCCTCGGCCTGCAGGGTGCGGGTGCAGCGCTGCACACACTCGGAGAAGCTGAGGTTGCTATGGTCGGCGCTGTAGTCGAGGTCGGCCAGCCGCGCCAGGGACAGGATGTAGTTACAGGCGATCCTCAGGATGGCCAGCTTGGACAGCTTCTGCCCATATGAGTAACATGGCACCTGGAGGGTGAGAAGGCGTCAGGAGGGGCTGCCAGGGTCTCTGCTGAGAACGGCCTGGGGGCACCTCAGCCAGGCAGGTGTAGGGCCCCTCACACTGACATCTGCACCGCCGGACAGGGGACTGCAGGGCGGCAGAGGTGGCCCGTCTAGTCCCTCAACCCGGATTTTATTCCCTGTTCTAAGCACCCGCTGTTTCCACACTCACAACCTTGGGAGGCATCCACATTCCCACGTCACAGGGGAAGAAACCGAGACTTAGCTCTTGCCCGAACGTCAGTGCGCACGAAACACAGTGAGTTCCCCCAGGACAGAGCTCCACCCCCCTCCCTCCCTGAGAAGGAATCTCTCAGAGAGAACCGATGTTTTTTGGCTCTGAGCGTCTATTTACTCATTCAGTGGCAATTGTCTTGCTGGGCACTTGGGGTCCGACCACAGATAATAACTCGGGTCTGCCATCAGAGAACTTCCACTCAAGAGTGATGTTATAACATCAGAGCAGAGTTAGGTGCCCGGGACCCTGGGAACAGACCAGAAGCAAAGTGTCAGTGCTCAGCTGGGGGGCCCACACATGATTGGCTTTCTTTTGCTTTTCTCTTTTTCTTTCCGCCCTCTGGACCTGGGGCGCTGCTGGGCATTGCAACAGGACAGTCCCAACCAGACTTGACAGCCTTGACGTTCATCACCGACTAGACACTCACTAATGGCACAGGGATTTGTATGCGTGAAGCGATGGAGTCTCTAACATTGTCCACCAACGCTCCTGCTGCTTGAGCAAAAAGCTACAAAGACTGCAGCAGAGTTCTGTGTCGTAACACGGAGACATCACCACAAAGTCCACCCGACAGGTGCTAACCAATACAGCTGCTCTGATGCGTCGTTCACCTAAATGGCCCAAACGTGCACTGCAACCAAGGCTGCGGCATCCTCCTCTCTATGGCTCTCCAGGATCTACACGCAGCATCCATCCCCACCACGGATACCTGGTACTAACCCTCAGCCCACAGAGAGTGGGGTGCCTTGCAGGGACCACTCAACAAGCACGCCGGGCACTGTTCTGAACCAGTGGTTCTCAACCAGGGACAATGTTGTCCCTACGGGGCAGCTGGCAATGTCTGCAGATACTCTTGATCGTCACCACCGGGGAGCAGGCGGGGAGGGGCTACTGGCCTGTAGTGGGCAAAGGCCAGGGATGCTGCTAAACATCCTACAATGCTCAGGATCCTACGATGCCTCCACAACAAAGAATGACTCAGCCCAAAACGCCAGCAGCGCTGTGGTCGAGAAAGCATAATCAAGAGAGCCGCTTCAGATGAGGACCCTAAACGCGTCAACATCTTGATCTCACGTTAAAGCTCACTTCGTCCAGCAGCTTTCCCTGACCTCCCACCCAACCCTACCCCGGGGACTAGGGCTGCCTCCCCTTGATGGTGCTCTAATAGCCCGCCATCTGTCCTTAACTCCTGAACACTGGGACTCATTTAATGGTCAGTCTCTGTGTGAGCTGTCAGGGGAAGGCCTCTGTATGCAGAGCCTAGCCCTGGTCCTGCCCATCACCGGCCTCCAAAGGGTTTGTTGACTGAGGGAATGAATGAACAAATGAAGGCTCTCCCTCCATATCTATCAGGTGACTCCAGAAGGTTTAGAACTGGGTTCAAAAACCATTCTCTCTCTCTCTCTCTCTCTCTTTTTCTTTTTGGCCACACCGCTCAGCTTGTAGGATCTTAGTTCCCGGACCTGAGATTGAACCCACGCCCCCTACAGTGGAAGCATGGAGTCCTAACCACTGGACCGCCAGGGAATTCCCAAAATTCTCTGAGGATAAAGATTTAGTTATTTGGTGCAGAGGTGAAGCTCATACACCTTTTGGTCACCTGGGCTAACTCCTGGCTCTAGCTACAAACCCTGGGCAGAGACATAACCGTTCTGAGCCTTGGTGTCCTTGTCATATTGCTAACAGGACTGACCACAAAGCGTGGTAAGGACTAAAGGAGATGGCATATGCGCCGCACATAGTAAGGCCTGATACAAGTCAGTGACATTATTATGGTGGGTGTTGCAGAGGGTCTCTAAAGAGGGTCTCCAGAGAGGGCGAGAAGCAGGAGATCTAGAGGCAGGACATACTGCCTGCTCATCCCCCACCCCCTGGGGGTCCTGAGACCGCAGGCCCAAGGTGAGGTTTGCTGTCACCTTTCAAAAATCCTCTAGCACACATATATATGGAATTTAAGAAAAAAAAATGTCATGAAGAACCTAGGGGTAAGACAGGAATAAAGACACAGACCTACTAGAGAATGGACTTGAGGAT